TTCATATCAACAGACTGGCCTGCTTCTCAAACTGTAAGTTTACAACGAAACTTGGCTTAAGTTCATATCAACAGACTGGCCTGCTTCTCAAACTGTAAGTTTACAACGAAACTTGGTTTAAGTTCATATCAACAGACTGGACTGCTTCTCAAACTGTAAGGTTACAACGAAACTTGGTTTAAGTTCATATCAACAGACTGGCCTGCTTCTCAAACTGTAAGGTTACAACGAAACTTGGCTTAAGTTCAAATCAACAGACTGGCCTGCTTCTCAAACTGTAAGGTTACAAAGAAACTTGGGTTAAGTTCATATCAAAAGACTGGCCTGCTTCTCAGACTGTAAGGTTACATCGAAATTTGGATTAAGTTCAAATCTTCCTCTACATGGTAATGGTAAATATAAAAGGCTATGCAGATTTAGGGTTATCTGCGCATTGCCGTCCCAAACTGACACACAAGAAGGGAAGTAGTTAGTAAATACCGTTGAGCTACTTTCGTCTGACCGAATGTTGGAATTTGATCGTGACTGTTATAGCACCAGCGTTGCCTCAAAGTGCGAATTCATAGCCCAGGCACACTAAACTACGGTATGCCCGACCAAATTTATTATATTATTTCACTATGTTATTCACCTAATGTATAAACTAGTGGCTCAAACTTTTCAGATTGGTCCTCTGTTCCTCTTGTCTGTGGATCTTGATGTCCCCCCCCCCACATATGCCGGTAACAGAGCAGTTTCAGTTTCAGTTTGTTTTTGAATTTCGCGCAAAGCTACACGAGGGCTATCTGCGCTAGCCGTCCCTAATTTAGCAGTGTAAGACTAGAGGGAAGGCAGCTAGTCATCACCACCCACCGCCAACTCTTGTGCTATTCTTTTACCAACTAATAGTGGGATTGACCGTCACATTATAACGCCCCCACGGCCTCAGATTGCGAGTCGAGCGCCCTAACCACCTGGCCATGCCGGGCCAGGTAACAGGTGAAAAACACGACACTGTTCCTATCTTACTAAACGGTAAAAATCGTTTTGCACCACATATTAAAACAGGCATGTGAGTTTAGAGTGAATCAAATATTACTTATATATTAAAACAGGCATGTGAGTTTAGAGTGAATCAAATATTACTTATCACATATTAAAACAGACATGTGAGTTTAGAGTGAATCAAATATTACTTATTACATATTAAAACAGTCATGTGAGTTTAGAGTGAATCAAATATTACTTATATTAAAACAGGCATGTGAGTTTAGAGTGAATCAAATATTACTTATTACATATTAAAACAGGCATGTGAGTTTAGAGTGAATCAAATATTACTTATATTAAAACAGGCATGTGAGTTTAGAGTGAATCAAATATTACTTATCACATATTAAAACAGACATGTGAGTTTAGAGTGAATCAAATATTACTTATTACATATTAAAACAGGCATGTGAGTTTAGGGTGAATCAAATATTACTTATATTAAAACAGGCATGTGAGTTTAGAGTGAATCAAATTTTGCTTATCTCTTAGTGAACACGTGTGCGGTATTTTTTTTGTGAACATTCCGAGGCACCGCTAGGGGGCGCCTTCCCAATTTGGGAATCACTGATATAATCACTAAAAGTTAGCCTATTCTTCCAGATCGTTCCACTCTTCGAAATTAGATTTATTTTAAACTCTCCACAGATGAACCCTTCGCTAAGATGGTACCATTTGTTGATGACAATAAATAAGTCTTATACATACCTTCTGTTCCTCCAAGAAGAGACGCGGGAGATAAAAAGATAAAAAAATATGTCAGCTAATCATAAATGGATAAGAGACTCGCTGTTTTAGACACAGTAAACGAAATATTATCAATCAAGATAAGTCTAGTTAATACGATAAACCGAAATATCCAGTAGAAAGTATTTATTATAAAACAAACAAAAGTAATAAATATTTAATTGTTTTGTTTTCGAATTTCGCGCAAAGCTACACGAGGGCTATCTGCGCTAGCCGTCCCTAATTTAGCAGTGTAAGACTAGAGGGAAGGTAGCTAGTCTTCACTAGCAACTCCACCCCGTAAAAACCAACCTGCTACAAGTAACTGCAACAACAACTTCCGTTGGGAGGTGTTGTTGCGGCCCTATGCTCCACTGGGAGTTTACAGGAATAAAATAAAATAAAAATAACATCAGCGCCTAGTGGTTTTAAACAGATTTGGGATTTTTTTTTTCTCTTTAAACATCGGTAAAATGTGATCGCCCACCCCCGGTTTTAGGGTAACACGCTACTCATTACTCCAAGGCGTGGTCGAAACTTGAACTTTGCTTGCACCAACCAGTGAATCCAAATGGTCATCAGCACATTGTGGATGGGTATACGAATGTTTGGGGAAGGGAGCGTCGTTCACAAAAATGATTTAGAGAGGCGGACAAATCCGGTTTACAGTTCGAATGGGTGAGAGAGAGTTTTGTTAATTCTAACTGTGACTGTCACTCTTATAGCGCACCTACAGCTGAAGGTATGAAGCGTGTTTGGTGACCACAAGGCCACGATCGGTACCTAACTGTGACGTTTCTGTTATCTGGAGATGATGCCTTCAAGTTGGTGAAGTCGGCATTGTTTGTAGAGAAAACCGAAATGCGACACGATGTCACAAGTGTATGTCGGTGGTAATGTTGTTGGTCTCGAGGTAGTGTATTGATCTGTTAGAGATTATTTGATCCAGTAGTTTAGTAGACCGGTGGGTTGGTAATTGCCTGGGTTGTGTAGGTCAGTCGTTGTTTTGGGAATAATAATGATGACTGCCGTTTTCCAACAGTTAGTTAAAAGCCTGCTTTCAGTGAAAGGTTGTAAAAAGCGGGGAGATAGGAGACAATATTTGTGAGTTCATCCTCTCCCGGACCGAGTTTTTAACCGTTTTAATTGATGTAAGTCATAACTTCGGCCAAGTGATGTCGTTATGGAAACACGGGTTGAATAGGTGGGGGTTGGTAGAGCTGTATTTGTTGGCGAGCACGTGTCCTTTCTTTAGGTCAGTGTTGGCTATCGTGTTATACGTACTGTTGTGTTTGTATGAGTGGTGTTACCTATGGACTTTTAACAAACCCCAAGGTATTTCTGATACTGCCGTGATAGTTATAAGTGTAAGCTAAGCACCAGGGGTAATGATGTTGGTATTTAAGGGGGGTAAAGCTCAAGGTACCCTATTCGATACTTCAGAAAGTATAAATTTGTTCTTGAAAGTACTTTCTAAAACTTTTTATCCAGAAAACAACATTATATAAAATATACTTTGAATGGAATGAAACATTGTTATTACTAGGTAGTTTTTTAAATATAAACAAAGATGCATTACCAATATCGTATCAATAAATATTAACATTGATTTCCAAGTATTAATAATATTTTACAAACCACTCGTACCTCGTCAGTCTCGGAGCCGAAGAGTAGCAGGTCAAACGGAATGGCCGCCACTACGTCAATGAGGAACCAGCCTCGAAGGTAATGCGCCGCGATCCGACCTGGAAGACTGACCACCTCCTCATTGGTGTTAACGTAGGTGGTCCGGAAGTTGATTAGTATATCGATGATAAACATGACGTCAACTAAAAGGTCGATGATGACGATGGGGTCGTCGCCGTACTTCTTGTTTCGCTTGGTTTTGGTTTCGTTTAACAAGAAGGCGGCGACGTACGGAGTGAATATCGCGGTGTAGATGACCAGAAGAAGTATTATCCAATCCCAGAAGGCTTTAAAAGGGGAGTAGTGGAGGATGGTCCACTTGTGGACCTGAGGCTTCTGAAGCTTATATTCTGGAAGAACGTCCGCTCCTAATGATAAAACCTGAGAAATAAAAACAAATTAAGGCTGTAATATAGAGAGTAGATATGGAGGGAAATATGTAATCTTCTAATGTTAGAAACTTAGAAGTAAAAACCACAGAGTTAACAACAGGTTAATGAACGGATTACAGCTCCCAAAACTAGAGGGACACTCAGTCGCCATGTAGCGTTGGTCATATTCGGCTCTCAAAAAATACAAAAATGTGTCCGTATGTCCGTTTTTTATCAAAAAATAGTGCGAAAAATCTGTCCCCATGTTAACAGATAGGGATTTTCGTTATGTTGCTGTGACCTTTACCTTTGACCCTCGAAAAACACAGATAGGGATTTCTTGGATTTTCGTTACGTTGCTGTGACCTTTACCTTTGACCCTCGAAAAACACAGATAGGGATTTCTTGGATTTTCGTTACGTTGCTATGACCTTTACCTTTTGACCCTCGAAAAACACAGATAGGGATTTCTTGGATTTTCGTACGTTGCTAGTGACCTTTACCTTTGACCCTCGTGAAAACATAACCTCCGTCCACCAAAGTTCAATTTATAAGTTGAGAAATCGTGAAACATCAGTGGCCAAAATGCAGAATATAATCCTATCGAACAATGTTTTATAAGTTAAAAACAACAACAAATATATATACACACACCTGTATGTGAAATTCGTCAATTCTCACATCAATATAAAACAAACTCATATTTTGAAAATATAAAAAAGTGTGTCATCGAGCAGAGAAAAGAGGTCTGAAATATCTTAATAAACTCTTTGTTAAATAAACAAAAGAATAATAGTCATAACTATTCTGATTCCATTGACGTGCAGTGTTTCTCAGCCAGATTTGCCAGGCGACCCCCGCGTCCAGGCATTGGTCGTCACGACCCCCCATTATCTCAACAAGGATGAACAAATTCTTGATGTTTCTTGGTGCAGTTCTTCATAGTTTGTGACAAAAGTGATATGTGCACTTTTCAGACACCTCGAGGGATCGCCACTCACTATTTGAGAAACACTGACTTATTGATATGTCAGAGTTGGGTGGAGTGGGGAGGGATTACTGTTGATCGCATGTTTCACATCTCCCTGTAATAAACAAAATATTTAGATTTGTGTGTGGTTGTATAAGATTCAGATTCCGAAACTAACATTCAAATCTAACAGCCTTATCTACACTGGACTGAGCGGCCAGGTCAGAGACTCTAGGATACAGGCATAGCTCTCCCTAATTGACTAAAAAATAACTAGTTACCCACCACCTCAAGTGGTTACTCCAACCGAATAGTGAAATAACTGTCACTCTTATAGCGCACATACAGCTGAAGGTATGAAGCGTGTTTGGTGATCACAAGGCCACGATCGGTACCTAACTGTCACTCTTATAGCGCACCTACAGCTGAAGGTATGAAGCGTGTTTGGTGACCACAAGGCCACGATCGGTACCTAACTGTCACTCTTTTAGCGCACCTACAGCTGAAGGTGTGAAGCGTGTTTGGTGACCACAAGTTTGAACAAGTCATCTCTACCATTTCTCCATCAAGTCCAGGAAAACCAGTTTCACCTTGTAAACCTCTTGGACCCTGTAAAACAGACGATAGTATTTTGACAATAAAACTTCAAAATATAAGCTAGCAAAATGGGAAGGATTTTTTAATGCTAATTTTTAACTGACCAATCCAACATAGAAGAGTTCATTAGAGTATTTCCACCATTTTATTTCCAGAGTATAAGTGAAAATGATAGGCTGACCATACTAACAGTAACTTAGGACAAGACCGCACACAAACATAAATGTCACACTTATAGCGCAGGTACAGCTGAAGGTAAAGTTCAGCTTTGGCTGACCATACTAACAGTAACTTAGGACACGACCGCACACAAACATAACTGTCACACTTATAGCGCAGGTACAGCTGAAGGTAAAGTTCAGCTTTGACTGACCATACTAACAGTAACTTAGGGCAATACCGCACACAAACATAACTGTCACACTTATAGCGCAGGTACAGCTGAAGGTGTGAAGCGTGTTTGATGACTACAAGACTATGATCGGTATCTAACTGTTACTCTTATAGCGCACCTACAGCTGAAGGTATGAAGAGTGTTTGGTGACCACAAGACTACGATCGGTACCTAACCGTCACTCTTATAGCGCACCTACAGATGAAGGTATGAAGCGTATTGATGACCACATGACCATGATCAGAAACGTTTTTGTTGTTTTTATCAAGATGCACATAATGTACGAACGTTTCTTCCTTAAAATGTAAACATTTCCTTAAGTGTCAGTAGGAAGAAACGTTTCGGTTTCGTTTGGATGTAAAACATTTTACAGTATCCTAAGAGTTTTTAAAGGTTACTGTAACGATATTGGTGTCTGCAGGTAAAACTCGTAAAATTAAGATGTCGAGAAACGTCCTATATTTTACATTAATCTTATACTTATTCCCCGGATGAGAATGTGTGTGTGTTAGACTTTTGAAAGCCTTAATGAAGTAGAATAATTAATAGTCTTTTACATCATGAAAAGTGAAAAAACAAAAACTTTATATACGAAATTGCACTAAAATTAGCCTATGTTTGTAATAACATTCCACAGATGGCGCTTAAAATCAGGTAGCTTCCATCATGTAGTCAGTGGAAAGGTTGGATACGTACGGACAGGAAGCGGCAGGTGGTACGTAAATAGAAAAACTTTGAAAGCCACTGCTACAACCAATTTAGGTGTTAACTCCACATCGTTTCTACAGCAGAGACGCAAGATTATATGTTTCCTCAAAGTTGAAACAGAAAAAATATATTTGAAATTATAAGATCTGCTGAAGTTTATGTAACTTTACTCAAAAGTTCATATCGAAACATCTGTAATGTTATTTGAATAATAAATATCGTTAAATTATCACATATTAATGTCCCGTGTCTTTAATGTCATTCATAAAACAACTGTTGTTAATTTACAGCAAACAACAAAGTAGAAATATTTAGTTTCAAGGGATTGTTCTCGGATATCAAACATAATCTACGCTATACCTTATTCTGAGGTAACATATTGAAAATTATAATGTCTACCTGTATAGTTCACTTGACAAACAGAGGTGAAAATAGTTGTCACCTCTCTGCTTCCTATAGTATTTTATCCCATTTAACGTGAAAGTTTAAACAGACTCTGCAACATGTGCAGGACAAACGAGTTTCCTGACAAGAGTCTCCATCCAGGTAACACACTATAAACACAAACCTAAAGGAAATAATCAATCATCCATCTAAATCGATTGACAGATCAATAATCAACTCTAGTATGGTTCGCGTGTTTACACTGCTCAAATCGTTTTCTAAGCTTTCAAGAAAGTTCTAAAAATTAAGCCACGCCCATCACATGACGTGAAAACCCCCCTCTAGACAAACAATAATACAAAACGACTAAATTATAAAAATAAAACATATCCTACAACACTAGACTGCGTTGCACCTGCACATTAATGATCAATAATTTTGGAAACAAACTCTTAATAATTTAATAGAAATTACATTGTGTATGCAAAAAAAAAAAAAAATATTTTAACGATCTCAATACTTCAACCACACCCTGGTCAGATTGGTAACAGTATTTCGAATACCAATTAATCGCGATTAAATCAGAAACTTTCCTCCTTACTCAAACTTATAACCAGAACTTTTCAAAATAAAATTAAATTACTTTCAGTGTAAATAATTTAAATCAAAATAAAAGAATGAACGCAGTTAGGTGGAGCTGTACAACTTACAAACAGCGACAGACTATGGCCATAAACAATACAGCTTATTTATTTTCGTTATTTAAAGTTGCACTTTTGAGTGGAAACAAAAATATAACGTGTACCACGATCGTAAAAACAAAGCTGGAAATAATGTCTACAGTATCTCCAGCTTTGTTTCCTTACTTATTTTACAATCCGTATTCGCACAGCGGCATGTCTGCGGACTTACAACATTAGAGACTTGGTTTCGATACCGGTGGTGGGTAGACCACAGATAGGCCATTGTGTAGTTTTGTGCATAACTATAAACAAACAAACAAATTTATCTTGTTGAAACATATATTTAATAATTACTATGAAACACAATAAATATATATTGTTAACTTTAACAACGAATGTGTCGGATATTATATACAACTCCGACTTTAAAATATGTGATCACAATACACATGTATATGAAGAAATCAGGCCTAAGTTTGGAGTTATTACATGCAATAAGTAAACCAAACATTTGAAGTTCCAACTATATAAACTACAAATAACCCAAACATTAGTGATAAAAATCGCGTTAGGCTTCATATATGTGTGTGTGTGTGTGATTTGTAACACTCGCGTTAAACCTACCGATTTAATTTCTTCGCCAACTTTAGTTTTTTTCAATTTATCATTTCAGTTTGGTTGTTTCTGAATGGGTATTTCGAAAACGGAGATCTATCATGACCCAAACAGACTAAAACAGAATTTAAAACACGAACAGATAGTGTTCACACTGCCCCACCGGACAAGGTGTCATTCTCAGGCATTTGTAGCGTATTTTGCATAATGTTAGGTACAAGAATCACTCAGTTATGATCGTCGTTATCACGAAAGATCAGAAAAACTTTGATTTTCTCCACGCATTCCAATGGGTATATCAAAAGTGTTTGGACAAAGGAAAGACTCGTTGAAAAGCACCTACGTATAGGGGCGAGGGAACGACGGGTGGGGTAGCAATCCCTGGCTTGACATGGTTCCTATAATATACAAAGGTTTCGATTTTGTTTTGTCGTTTTAGCATTTTTAATAATCCTATCTCCAACGTCAACACACACGTACGTTTTTTAATAGTCCTATCTCCAACGTCAACACACACGTGCGGTTTTTAATAGTCCTATCTCCAGGGTCAACACACACGTACGTTTTTTAATAGTCCTATCTCCAACGTCAACACACACGTGCGGTTTTTAATAGTACTATCTCCAACGTCAACACACAAGTGCGGTTTTTAATAGTCCTATCTCCAACGTCAACACACACGTACGTTTTTTTAATAGTCCTATCTCCAACGTCAACACACACGTGCGGTTTTTAATAGTCCTATCTCCAGCGTCAACACACACGTGCGTTTTTTAATAGTCCTATCTGCACAAATTGCTCTTGGTCAATCACCTGGCAGCTAGGCCCTAGCTTCTCTACAGCTTCTGGGAAGTCACTGCTTGTGTTTTGTGCAGTAAGCAATATCATCTTGCGTGAGTAGCCATCAACACAACTGTTAATACGTGTGCCAAACGTATCATAGCAGACAAAAGACGTCGGATAATTGGATCCTTTGGTAAAATACATGCGTCTGTGTAGTCGATGTCTTTGTTGAAGTTCCGTAGCCTCAGAATCAAGTGGTCTCATTAAAAAACGAACGTACTATTTTTCTCAGTACACTCATTTCTCACTGTTATGGAGTTCGGTGTAAGAATCGGTTGGGATTGAGAGAGATGAGGTCGACTTCTGGCCGTTTTTCACTGTTATGGAGTTCGGTGTAAGAATCGGTTGGGATTGAGAGAGATGAGGTCGACTTCTGGCCGTTTTTCACTGTTATGGAGTTC